GCGGTTGGCGCAGGATAGAGCAGGGTTTAGGGCTGTTGTGCATAGGGTCGCTATGAGTCGGAAACGACTCGACGGCACATAACAACAATAAATTCCTGCACTGTCCCTCAACCCTTCTAAGCAAGATGTCCTTTTTCAAGAATTGGTCCCTCCTGGCCACATGCCTAAAGTATATGAGTCAGAGCTTCAAAATCTTAGCCACAAAGAACAGCCTCATTTCACCCTCTCCAAGATAAATATTTGTTTTCTTGGTAGTCGATGGGATGTTTAAGACTCTAGCATCACAACTCAAAGGCATTGATTATTCTTCTGTCATCCTTAGTCAGCTCTCTGATGCATAGCAAATAATTGGTAAGGCCATGGCCTGGACCTTAGTCTCTAGGCTGACATCGTTGCTTCTCAGTACTCTGCAGAGGTCCCTGACAGCCAACTTTTCCCAGTGCAATTTGTCTTTTGAAGATTGTTGATTGCGGAGCAGAATAACCTGTAAATATTAACAACCTTAATATCTTCTCCATCTATCATGGTGTTGCCAACTGGCACAGTGGTGAGAATCTTTGACTTCTTGAAGTTGAGCTTCAATCCATGTAAAGACTACAGTCCCTGACATTCTGCTGCAAGTGTTTCAGGTCTTCCTCAGTTTGAGCCAGCAAGGTTATGTCATCTCTGTAATGTAGGTTTTTAATAAGTCTTCCTCCATTCCTGACGCCACATTCCTCCTCATATAGCCCAGCCTCCCGAGTGGACTGTTCTGTATATGGACTGAAAAAATAAGACAGGACACATGTCTGAGCCACTCTATTCCTGACTTAAAACCATGCAGTGTTTGCTCAGTTTTGAGGACTGCTTCTTCGTCTGAGTATAGTTTTCTCATGAATACTGTCAAATGTTCTGGGATTCGCATTCTCCTCAAGTTCAGCCACAGTTTGTTGTGACCCACACAATCAAATGGTCTTGTGTAGTTGAAGGAACACAGATAGACATTATTCTGGTATTCTCTGCTTTCTGCCAAGATCTGTCTGACATTGACTATAATGTCTGTAATGTCAAGACCTCTCCTAAACCCAGCTTGTATTTCTGATAGTTCTCTGCTTTGCACTGTTCCCGTCGTCTTAGATAATGTTCCGCAACATTGCTTGAGTGTGATAGTAGTGATATTGTTTGATAATCTCCATACTGTGTTTGTTCGGCTTTTTTTTTTTTGAATGGGAATAAATACAAATCTCTTCCAGCCTGTTGGCCAGGTAGTTGTCTTCCAGATTTCTTGGTCATGAAACATCTTGGTGATCACATCCAGGGCAGCATCTGTTTGTGGAAATATTTCACTTGGTATCCCATCAATTCCTGGGGCCTTATTTTTTTTCCAAGTTCTTCAGAGATGCCTGCACTTCCTCTTTCATCTCCATTGCCTATTGATCATATGTTGTTGTTTTATTAATTTCTTCTGTGTCAGCCAGTTGTTTCTGGTAGAGTGACTCTATGACTCCTCTTTTCCTATTTCCTGGATCACTCACTATTTTGTCCTCAGCACCCTTAACAATTGCAACTTGAGGATTTGTTCTTGAGCTTCATTGGTTCTTGAATTTGTTCTTTAGCTTAAGAAATGCTGAGCGAGTTTAGCGCTTTTGATTTTCTGATTCCAGCTCCTTGCACCTTTCATTCATGTCCTTTGAAACCTTCTATTTAGCTCCTTCTTGATTTCTTCCCTTTGTTTTGGCTTCTTAGCGCTCTGTTGCAATATTCACAGTCTCTTCTGACATCCATTTTTGTCTTGTCGTCTTCCTCTGTCTGTCTTTGTAAGGACCTTTTGCATTCTTCATGTATGATATTCTTGATATCCTCTCAACACCTCACCTCAACCTTACTCATTAGTCTTCAAGGTCTCTAACCTGTTCTTAAGTTGGTTTTTAAATTCAGGTGTGATAAACTCACGATAAAATTTTGATTACTGTAGATTTGCTTTGACCTTCTTTAGCTTTAATATGAACTTACATATGAGTAGTTGATGGTCTGGCCCACAATAAGCAAACATTAATTTTTAAGAAGACTTTTAGGCAGATGGGTAAGATGAACAAACATGATGAAAGAGATTTCTTCCATGACTACATATAGGTTTGGCATTATATGACTTTTTAAAGAAAACGATGTCTTTTATATGCTATATTTTACGTGCATATTTGCCTTGGGAGCTCTAGTAACTTAGTAGTAAAGAACCAAAGACAGATGATTTGAAACAAACTGTTCTGTGGAGAAAGACAGGCAATCTTCGGCACAAATTGGCACCTGAGAACAGTCTGGAGGGTCAGCTATGCATGATTTAATTCTGACTTGAAGCTACATAACAATAATGTTTTTGTTGTTATGTGCCATCGAGTTGCCTGTGGTTCATATTGACGCTATCAATATACATTCGCTCTGACATCTGCCCTGTTCTGAGCCAATCTCACTGTCTCTGACAGACCTAATATCATTTCTCAAGTCACTGAGTCAATCATCTTATGCTGGGGCCTCGTCTCCTGTACTGTCCCTACACACTTGCAAGCATGATGTCCTTCTCCAAGGACTGTTCCCTCATGGCCACATACTGAAAGTGTGTGAGATGACTTTAAAATCTTTGCCTCCAAGGAACAGCCTTGTTTCACCCTCTCCAGGATAGACCTGTTTGTTCTCCTGGCAGTCTACAGTATGTCCAACACTCTTCTCCAGCACCACAACTCAAAGGTGTCGATCCTTCTTCTATCATCCTTAGTTATTGTCCAGCTCTTGGAGGTATAGCAAGAAATTTGGAAGACCATGACCTGCATCAGGTGCACTTTAGTCTCCAGGCTATCATTATTGTTCTTCAGTACTCTAGAGAGGTCCATGACAGCAGATTTTCCCAGTACAATTCATCTTTTGATTTCCTGACTGCTGGTACCAAGCATGTTGATTGTGGAGCCAAGCAAGCTGAAATTGTCAATAATAACAATCTCTTCTCCATCCATCATGTAGCTGCCAATTGACACAGTGTTGAAAATCTTTGTCTTCCATATTGAAGGTTGGATTCTTTATCTTCCGCAGCAAACATACATCTATCTATCTATCTATCTATCTATCATCTCTCTCATTTATGTATCATCTAGCTAGCTAGCTAGCTATTATCTATCATGTAATAGAGCCAATAGGGGGCAAGGTTGTCGAAACATCTTAACCAATCACCCTGAGGGAATACGTCTCTAGTCCCAGACCTTCAGGATTTTCATCTCAGGACCATCAAAATCAATTGGCCTAATAGTCCACAAAGACAGATTTCTACATCTTACTTTGGTGAGTAGTACTTGGGATCTTAAAAGATAGCCAGCAAACATAAGTGACTCTATTAGTTTCTTCCTGTCTGGAACAAAGAGTGAAGAAAATCAAAGACAGCCAACAGTTCAGTGGACCACACAAGCCTCAACCACCACCCTAAGAACAGAAGAACTAGATGGATCCAGCTACTAGTGTTGACAACTCTTAAAAGATCAAAGCAGAGGATCCTGGACAGAGTAAAAAAACAAAACAAAACAAAACAAAAAAACCAACAAACAAAAAAACCATACAGAACAAAATTCAAAATGATGAAACCAACTAGCTTAGCTGGTATGATGGAAACTGGGTAGAACCTCCACCGCTATGACTCTTACCTATTTGGGTCAAGCCTTGGGCTAATTCTTTGACTCAACGTACAGTCAAGCAATTGACAGCCCTACAATGAGAGCAGTAGCACCAGGAATTTGCTTATTCTTTACAATGTTTAGTCATAAATGAAAAGGGCAAGATTTGCTTAGGAAAAAACTGAGAAGACTCAAAAAGGTAGAAGTAGAGGATAAATGGAGAACCATGGAGGAAGTTGGGAGACTGCCCTTACAATGTGGAATTGTAATTATTGTTATAAAACAAAATTTATGAAGTTTGACAAAAGCCATTTTTGTTTATAAGTTTTTAATCAGATCAAAATAAAAATAAAAATTGTATTTTATAAAATTTAAACATAAAATATTACAAAAGATGTACAAATAATTTTGGAGAAGTAGTTGAAAACATAGTATTTTAAAATAACTATCATTTTGGATGGATTTTAGATTAATTCATATTTTAAGGGAAATGAGTTATTAGTTTTGTTTGAATTTTATGTAGCCCACTAATTCAACATTGATTTTTCAGCTATTCTTTAATATTTTTTTATAATGTGATATTCTAGACTCTTTTTAAAGGAATTATTTTAAAGTTTAAGTATTATACTTTATTCTACAAGAAGCATTGTATCTTGAGATTTTAGCTCATAAAATGAACACACTATATAATATTTCTTTATATTACTCTGAGAAATGGAAAATACTGTAGGGATTTTTTTTAACTATAGAAAATACAATTTTAAAAAGCTTTGAAAGATAAAGAAATAGCATAACATTATTTGCTTTCCTCTGTTTTTGCTACCTCTGGTATATATGTGAGATGATGAAAAACAAAGCAAAACAAAACCAAACTTCCTTAATTATAGAACGCTAACTTTTTTTTCCTTTATCTTTCAGCTGACAGGTGAAGTGATTTTGCAAATTGCCAACGAGCCGGTTCTGCCTTTTAATGCACTTGATATAGCTTTAGAAGTTCAAAACAGCCTTAAAGGTAAGCTTTCTTTCAATTATAGTAATTTTTAGTAAATGTGAAGTTGGTTCAACTAATTTTCAATGAGAAGTGGATTAAGTCATCTACTGGGCCATTTGTTGGCTGGAGGGTTTTCTTGAGAAATGTCTGAAAATTCTAGCTACTTTGCCAAAAGGAACGAACAGTGCACTTATGTGAGTATAAGGCCAAGGTATAACTATTCTCTTTTAGATAGACTTACAATTCCAAACTTCGGTCTTTATTAACATGTACCACATAAAATCATAGAGTCAGTATTAGTTATACTTTATTTTGCAACTACATGAATTCTTTTAGAAATGCATTTCTTTTGGAGATTAATGTGCCTATGGGATATGGAGAGCTGTCCAAGCAGTTAAAGGATTCTGGTTGTCGTTGAGCACCTTCTAATTGGAACTGATTCATAGCTGTCCCTCCTATGGATTTTCAGAAACAAATAGTCACGTAGGAGGAGACTGCTCATATTTCTCCGACAGCAAAGCAACTGGATTTGAACTGAGTACCTTTGGGTTGGCAATTTACCACTAAGTTACAAGCGCTTTCTATCAATATCAAGGAGAAAACTAAAGGAAGTAATTTCACCATCAAAAATTCAGTTCTTCCTTATTTAGATGTATTCTTTTCTCCAGCATTCTAGAACAATCAAAAAAGTTAGCTTTTTTTTTCTTGTATCTACATACAAATCTTTCCATTAGACTGCTAATTTGTCTTCATTAATCCAATACAAAGAGCAATAGTACTGTAATTAAAGGCTGTGCCCTCATGATCTTGGAGTACTACATCTTCCTATCTGTTTTTAATGACTATTTTGGAGACATGGACTTTTCAATATATGAGGCAGTGTTTTAAGTATCAGACTTTAGCAGTAATTTTTAGAAAAGGTTTCATTCTAAAGGGCAAAACATTTCTAGTGGCTGAAAAAAACTTTTTAAAAATTCCTGTTGGTTATCTGTGTTGCTTTCTTCAAGAAAGAATATTCCAACATTTTTATTTCAATATTTCTTATGACTGATTGTAAGAGCTGTAAAACCTTAGAAGCCATTGAACTGTTAAAGCCCATTTTCCTTGAACTTGAATAACGTCAGACTGCCCTATTTTTTCTATATTTGTGGTAGTTTCTATATTGCTTCCTTTCTGCTACTGCCAAACTTCTTCCAGTCATTCTTGCGGCTGTCATTTTGACTTCTGGAATCATTATTCTGTCCTTCAATTTTTTGCTATTCCTAAAATAGTTTGACTTAGAGACTGGGTAACCCTGCAAATGACATTTAAAAAAAAAAAAAAAAAAAGTAAACCGGAACTGGTATAAATAAAGTTCTAAATAGTTCTTCTTTGAGTAATGAATATTACTGTTTTCTGCATGTTGAATTTTTTTAACAATTATTTTACTTTTTTTAATTTTTATTTTATTATGTTTGTGTGAGTGTACCGTCAAATCAGATCTGACTGATACAGGAGGAGATTGTCCCTCCTTCCCCGGCAGAGCATCTGGTGGTTTTGAACCGTGCACCTCTGGGATTGTAGTTGCAGCTCCTTACCACTAGGCCACCAGAGCTCCCCAATTATTTTACTTTTTCTAGTTCTCCCTAGTTTTCATTTTTATATTCTAGAAAATTCAGTTGGTATAGAGCATACCAATTCAAACTTTGACAGTAGTTGTTATTTGTTAAGTGCCGTAGAATTGTAGGTGACTGATAGCGACCCTATGAATGAAAGACCTGAATGGATAGTTGTATAAGTTTCATCCTTTCTCCAGGTTCACAGGGTTTCCAGAGGCAAGCTATTTCAGAAGTGGATGCCACCCCTGCTCCTAAGCTTGTTTTAACCAGGGAGCTCCACCAAACACTGTCCACCATAGGTCACCATTATCGCATTTGACACATCTACAAGCAGCAAAAAGCCACACACCCAGACTGGAGCCTTCTAGGCCTCTGCTGGCACTCCCTCCCTCCCGTTGACAGTTCAAAATGAAAAAAATTATCCCTCACAATAGATCTTTCCTTACATGTTGTGTTGTTGTTGTGATCCTTGGAGTTGGAGCTGGCCCGTAGGTGGCTCTCATGTGGGTTTTCGGTGGCACTAATTGCAGGGGAGAAGATGCTCAACGTTCTCTAGTGGAGCAGCTGGTGGACAGCATGGCTTTGCGTTGGCAGCAAAGCTCCTTTCCACTAGGACACCCCACCTACCATGGTCACGTACTTGTTTTAAATGAAGTTGTTTTAACCACTTGAAATATGAAAGGCCAGATCAAAGCAAGCAAGCAGAGATAGGGAAGATATCTACTACAGGAAGGAGCAGAAGACAAGACTTTCCCTTAGAACTGATGCCTAAAATCCACCCTGCTAGTGTCTAAAACATCATCAAGAAAACAAAAATTCTCACCACTGGGCCAATCGGCAGCATCGTAATGGGTAATGAAGAGACTGAGACAATTAACAGATTTAATTTGCTTGGCGTCACAATCAACACTCTTGGTACCAGCAGCCAGTAAATCAGGAGATGAGCTGCATTGGGAAAGTCAGATATTAGGGACCTCTCCAGAGTACTGAAGAGCAACGACATCAGGCTGGAGACTAAGGTGTCCCTGATCCAGGCTCTAGTCTTTGTAATTGCATGCTATGAATCGGAGATCTGGACAGTGACTAGAGATGACAGAAAGAATTGATGCTTTCGAGCTGTGGTGCTGGAGAAGAGTACTGAATATACCGTGGACTGCTAGGAGAACAAACAGGTTTGTCCTGGAGAGGGTGGAGCTGGGCTTCTCCTTGGAAGCAAGGATTCTGAAGATTCATCTGACATATTTTGGACTGTTGGAAGGATAGACCAGTCCTTGGAGAGGGATGTCGTGTTTGGGAGGGTGGAAGAACAGAGCCAGAGAGGAAGACCCTAGACCCTCACTGAGATGGATTAATTCAATGACTGGACTCATAGGGGTGTGTGTGCTGGAGACAGTGAGGTTGGCACTGAATAGAGCAGGTTTTAGGGATGTTGTACATAGTGTCGCTATGAGTCACAAGCAACTCAATGGCACATAACAACAACAGTCTCTAAAACTGTAAGAAGAAAATAAGTATCTCTTTATTAAAGCTGCCCACTCATACTTCTTAGTTCAGCAATGTTAGATAAATCAAACACATTTCATAGAGACTTGTTTATCACTAAAAGATGTACCTGTCATGCACCAGAAGGAGACTCAAAAGTACACTGCAGTCGGCTGAGAGCAGTGAGGCTAGGGGAAGAAAGACAGGAAGATCAGAAACAAAGAGGTGGTGAGAAGCTGCACTCCAGCCCCTCCAGGCTGTTCAAATCCCTCAGCTGCTCTGTGGGAGAAGGAGGAGAAATCTTTTTCCATGTGATTTACTGCCCCTGAAAACCCTGCTGGAGGGTCAGCTCCAACTTGATGGTACACAACAACATACACCAGCACTAAGAAATCAGAAAAGGAAGTTGGGAAACCATTTCATGTTCCATACTATCTAGGAGACTAAAACACCTAAGAACAAATCTAACCAGACACATGAGGCATTTGTACAATTAAAATTACAAAACACTGCTGAAGATTAAGGAATTAAATAGAAAGATATTCCGTTTTCCTGAATTCAAAGACATGCTGTTACTGATTAACAAATTATTAATTTGTTATTAACAAATTAATATTGTAGTTGTTGTTATGTGCCATTGAGTTGCTTGCGACTCATAGTGACCCTA